ACATTTGTTTTTAATTTAATGCATCTATTGCTTGAGTTTTTGTTTGAGTTTTTCCTAAATCTTTAACCTCCTGGTGTGGTGATAGATATGGCATTTTTTTCTCCTAAATAATATTCCCGGATATTTGTAAGTTGCAGTAAAAATTACACCTCAGCTTGCGGTGAACCTTAAAAATATTATCAATACCGCGGCAACTTACAAGTAGAATGTTGTTTATATAGTTTTTGTTAAACGTCCCGTTCTCAATTCACAATCTAAAATCGACTTTGAGATGTTTCGTCCTTTTTACTCGTATATTATACAGAAGAAATAATTACCACTTGACTTGAATTAAAATTATTTCAGTTAATAGCCAATATTATCAATTTTCATAATAAAGCCATTTCAGATTTTAACTTACTTGCCAAACTAACGTTAGTTTTGAAAGGGAAATCTGTTAAAAAAGTATTCATCTACATATAACACCCTGCCCATACAGTGGCAATCTTTTTTGTTGACAAAGTCCTTTAATTTCCGGCTAAACATACATAATTTCAAAGAAAAGAAACGTTATTTAAAAATTCCCTGCTTTATTCTTATAATATGATGAATGAGAAGCAGATGAGCCATACTCAAGATTTTCACATAAAGAGATTTAAGTTTGCTTAAGAACCTTAACGTTCTCTCATATTCAACAGATTCCGTCTATGTATTAACGAATGCATTCTTTCAATTCCATAAATTTTTGTCTCGTCAGTTTTCTGGAACAGGTAGCTCCATTTCGTTATATAAAATCTATGCTTTTGCCTCACTAAACATTCAGCTCCACGCCATTTCAGATTCAACGTCCGGCTTCTAGTTTCTTCATTCAAAATATGTCCTTTTAGCGAAATCGTATGTATTACATGTTCCATGACTTCCGTGCATCTTATTTTATTAAGACGATTCCTTCATTTGGATGTATCAATATAGATAATGCAGAAGAGACAGACATTATTTCCTTTTCGTGAGAAACATTCTGTTCTGAGGATATCATATCATAGAGCCTTCCAAAGGCAGCTCAGCTATTAATTAACCTTTGTTTGTGGTAATAGAAGGTTTAAGTTAAGCGATATGTTTAATTTGTTTTACGAACGTTCACTTTACTGCCAGTAGTTGCATGTTAGTAATCGATTTAGTCGAGAGCCTTCAGCAAAGTGAATATGAATTCCTCGATTTTTCTTCCAACAGTGGATTCTGATGCCGTTTCTGAATACAGATAAGATAAAAAGTCTGATTTATTTGAATGAAATCAAGTATTCCTTCATTTCGCGTTTTGTTGCCATTTCCTATTAATTTCTTCCGTCCTTCTTTCTTTCATTGTCTATTTTCGAATTAACATTTCCCGTTAGTGCAGTGAAAACAGGCTTTTTCGTGGTTTCGTTCTGTATGTTTACCGCAATGCCTTTACACCATAGTTCTTTCGATTTATTTGTTACTGTCGTCGTTTTGCATCATATCTTCAACTTAACTTTGTTGTGCACATACAGAATTTAATTATAAAAATGTAAAATTGATAATGTTCCTACAACGCATAACATAAGGATATTTGAGACTTACAGCAATGATATTACACATCAAAGCTGAAAATCTCAGCAAACTGGCAAAATACGTGTGTTAGTTAACTATTAATTCAGTTCCTTAATTTATTTTGCTCTTTAATTGTCAAAATATTACTTTTTTTTATTTTATATGCAAAATGCAGTTTTGCTTTCACGTAGCCTATATTTCAAGCAGAAATTCTTTCTGCAAAATGATTTTGTAAAGGCGATGCTCGCCTATTTGTCTGTTTTTACTATTCAAAAAGAAATATAAGTAGATATAGCATATCCGGTATCCGGACTCATAGAAACAATTTAAAAGTGCCGTCACGCTTTGGAATTGTCCTTATATTATCTTCTGTAAACCTTGCCGATGTATTAAATAATTATGATAATATCATACACAATGTCCAGACCTTCTAATGTTTTACTTTAAACAATGTGAACCTCGCATTTACATTTCAAGTAATAACTGTATGATCATCTGTTATAGACAATTACTTAAAAACAACAAAAACGGGAGCCTTGTTACATATTCTCAAGTCCGCACTGCACATTGTGTAAATCTAGACTTAAAAATGAGAACGTGAGCTAAATGTGTAATGGGCATAGCATTGTAAACTGGCCATCAAGAAGTCGAAGCATTTCCTAGCCGGACGAATTACGGCTAGTAAAATATGTTACATATGTTAAACCCACTAAGTAACTATACACTTCGTGTGAAAGACTCTCAAAGCAAGGTTTGCCGCACATAACCAGGTTGTTCCAAGTAAAATATATATTATGGATTATAAGTAAAACAATAATTAATGTCCTGTAAAGAATTGATGAAACGATCAGGAAATATGACGAATTAAAAAATACACAGGGAAATTGAACAAATGACTTAATGATTTAATGTTCAAACCGATCATAAAAATAGAAGACTAAACACTTAAAGTCTATATAGCAACTGTATATTTAAATTTCTCTCAAATGTACTCTGATTTTAACAAAATGTATGGATGCGTACTATAGTGAGTTTATAATATTATTCGACCGATTTTATTTTTTGCATATTACTTGAATTGTTTGATAGTTGCTGTCGTTCAAAATAATATATTTTGCCTGTTTTTCATTTTGTCGGCTAAATTATAACAATGTGACAAACACGATGGAGGAGAGCAATTCCAATTCGAAAATTAAATTTAAAAAATTTTCAAAAATCCAAATGGAATTTGATATTCTTGAAATTCGCTTCAGCAAATGGAACGTTTTACCTAAACCATAACCTTCATTTCTTTGTTGAATAAAGACGTTTGTTATGGTAATTTTTTTTATTTATTTTCTGATTTGAATAATATTTTTTCGACAAAATCCTGCCACAACGGCATGAAGAACGCGTATAGAAAGGGATTGTTTTGAAAGTTGATCAAAATTTTGCTCAAATGTGTTAGATTTGAAACTTGATTAGACAAAACACGCAATATCTTCTCCATTTAATAGAGTTAACTCCAAAAATATCTATCCATTTTTCGTTTTGTCTGATAACTGTTTGAAAAAATCGTTAAAAACAAGCTGCAAGAGAGCAATAGTTCATTATTTAAAAACTAGCATAAATCTAATTGAAGATTAAGAAACTTTAATATCGCCAAAACAATAGATTTGTAATACAAATAGAATTTGATAGAAATTTGTAAGAATATAGAATATGTAATAGATAGTAACGTTTAATTATTTTCATTTCCCATTTTAAATCAACATTTTTTCAGAAAATTGTTGAAAACTAAAACCGGAAACGTGCAAAGGTGGGTTTTAAAAATCCGCATAAATTGACCTCAATTGTGGCAGATTGCAAAATATGTTGTACTAAAGACGCAGTCTTTTTTCTATTTAATGGAGTTAACTCCATTTATTGGCCCATTTGGTTTTGCCTGAGAAATTTTTGAAAAAATGCTGTGAGAAAATGACACGAAGTTTGGAATGAAGAAACTGTCAAAATTCGTCAATTTGAGAAAATTGACATAAATCGAAAAAGTAATAAGCTGGTTGATATAAACTAATTGGAAAAAATTGAGATGCAGATTGATAATCGTGAAAATCACTGTAGCAATTAACACCGTTTTATCTTCATCCATCTCTGACAATGTCATCAAAAATGCGTATAACAAAAACTTGTTTTAATATACTCGCCAAAAATTGATCTCAAATGTGGTAAATTTGCCACTGTCTTGGAGTAAAGACGCAATTTGTTTTTTATCGATCTCCAGTTGGAGTTTATTCCAACTCGATTAATTCTTCTCCTGGATTCTGCTCGTTTTCGTTGATGGCTGAGAAATTTTTGAAAAAAATTGTGACAAACAATCTACCTGTGAGCAATATAATGTTTGGGATAAAAAATTTGCCTATTTTGGATTTTGCCTAAAAATGTTTTTAAAAAATCGTGACAAACAAGCTGTAACACGAAATTTTGAAAAAAAAATTAGATTACTTTATTAGATTTACGTGCATAGTACAGGCCTATTTACCTCTTTTATTTAGTATATAATAATTTAGCAAACATTTGCTTCAAATGATGCAATGCAGAATTCCAAATGTATTGGCTAAATACGCAATCCCTCTTCTATTTAATCTGGTATATAAATAAAAAAGCATGTTTCTAAAAATATGCTGATGGCGATCAATCTAGTATTCAGATATTCACAGCATTAAGTGTACTTTTTAAGTCTCTTAATATTTTGAAACCATTTGTAAACTTTTTAATTTAAAATCTTTAATCTTTAATCTTTTTAAAACTATCTCAATCGGTAACAAAATGAGCATTTTTATCTCTATTAAAATTTAGTTTTTTATTTTATTTATAATTAAGTATATAGTATATGAACCTAAATTTTATTTTATATAAATTGCAAAAGATGAAACTAAATACAAAAATTACTTCAAAGGTGCATGCTTACTATTAAGACACTTGCATATTTTCTGAATAAATTACGGATCTGTGGACGAAAGCCTGAGATCTTAAGTTTTTTATATAAGTTCAAAACTCGTTGAAAGTATATAAAAGGAAGACATTTCTACCTCTCAGCATTAAATATTTCAAATAATTTAGGAAATGTAGCTATGACAGTTAACTATAATTTATATGAACCTTAACCTTAGATGAGAATTTAACGTATATGAATATTTCGTTTATGAAGAAAACGCATTTTTGGACGCAAAATAAATACCGAAATGTCGTCTTTTTTTCGAAACATTTTTTTTTATTTGGTGCAGAAATCAAAGCAAATTTCATTCATTTTAAATGTAGAAATGCATATATCATCTAAGCAGCTACTTCTTCGAACTCATCGATAATATATGTATTGACAAATAATGGGCATGCAGTAAGTAATTTCTAAAAGTATTTTCCTAAATAACTTATATTGCGTAGCACTATTTAAATTGTCTACACACTTTTCTTACCGAGTATATCGACCATATCATTAGGCTGAACATCATAGAAAACGGAAATCAACCGCACAATGCGAAAAAGGCAACTGATTATTTGCCTGAAATGTTCCCGGGTAAAATTCCCAACAATGAAGGCAGACGTTGGCCAGCTAGTTTACCAGGTCTGTATCGACTGGATTTTTGTTATTGGAAATATCTCATTTATTACAGCACCTGTTGAACTTGGCGAGCTGTGAAGAAATTTAATTGTCGACTTAGCTAGCGGCATTAAAGAATTGATGAAAATGTATGTAAGCGTGTGGATGGATAGTTAAAAATGGTCTTGGTACTACTTACTGGGTTTTTCGGTCCTAAAGAGGCACGAGTAAAAAGGCTATTTTACTTGTACCAACATTTCGGCGATATTTTGAACCATGTTCAAGATCCGGAATTTTGTGATCTTTGTTCAGATAAGGGGTGAGAGCTTGTTTTCAAAACCGGGTATATCGTTAGCCTGATCGAGTTTATTCGGCCTGCAAGTGTAGCAGAAAGTCAAAAAAGTTATTATAGGTAGATTAATGCTAATATCACTTATGTATTTTCTTTATTTCTAGTTGAAGCTAAATATTCTTGAGGTTCTGCCACACTTCCAGGACGAATAAACTCGATCACACCACTCACCTGAACCAAAAAAAAACACTAAATTTTTTAGCCCCGAAGATGACTGAAATAATCACCGAAAGGTTGACCCAAGTAAAGTAGTGCTTTCCTTTTGCCTCTATTTGCCGTAGAAACCCAATACTGAGTACTAATACCACAGAACATTATCACCAATTAATATCACCATCAATTGCATTTGTTATTTCTTTTCAACATAATAAAACCAAACTAAATAGCTGAAATTTTCTTTTAATCTAATTAGAAGCAATACTAATAAAGTAAAGTTTATAATAAAATACATACTTTTTTTAATGAGATTCAATGTTCGCCCATGTAGAGATGGGAAAACATTTGATTCGTAGAACTAAGCAAAGTACATTATTAGAAGGAGCCTAAGCTGAAAATACATATTAAACTTACCATCTTAAATAAAGATGTATTTTCCTCAAAAAGATTTAATTTTCTGGATCTTCCCAAGATAAACCTTTTATTTAAATTAATGGTTACATTTATTTAAAACTATTATTGTTATGTCTTTACGATACTTAGAAGTGTTAAAAATCGCCATTATGATGCAGACGCTAGTCCGTACCTGGCTCAGTAAAAACGGCTAAAAGATTGCCTACCATTTTGGTCTATTTCCGTGTGCAAAATCCAAAACAAAATTATCAAAAATTGGCATAACATTTTTCTGTGTTCTATTTGAATTAGCAAATTGGTCCAATTATCTGAGAACACCCTGTGGAATAACTGAATATCGCTAATGGGCTGCTGGTTCCTAGTTGTTCCCCTGATAATAACCTTTAGTGGATATGCATTCTGATATTGAAATTAATTTATAATTGTTTGTAAACAGAAATGTTTTCAGTGATAGAGAATGAATCACATAAACCTATTTCTGTATAGAAAAGTCACCTTCTGTATTGCCGAGCTGAGGTATATGGGAATGTTTTAAACTGAAATATTTGTTAGCTTTATTTAGGTGGTATTTAGTGGCTCTGGCATGTAGATTTATCACTAGGTTAACTGTGTTTTAAAACTATTTTAATTGGAATTTTATCTATTCTTTGATAACATTCTGTGAAAATTTACTTTCAATGTTTGGCGCTTTGTTCTGTAAAATGTTGAAACCAAATATACACCAACAAACTCAGAAAATAAACATATTAAACCCAAAACAATAAAATTAACGATACGATTTCACATAAACATTTAATTTTAATAGGCTACCTATAAATTATCTGCCTTAATTTTCAAATTTCCATGAATGTATGACAAATAAGATTTGAGAAATACAACTTCTTCTTGCACCCTGACAGCATCGAGGTTAGGAAAAAAGGCGCTCTAACAAATCGCCATTAGACAGCAATAAAAAAAAGAAAACTACCTATGCACATTTACAAAATACACAAAATATCACGAGCGAAAGAAACAACAAATTTGAAATTTTCCTAATTTTTTCATTTTGTTTTCGAATCATTTGTTTAATACAAAAATTCATATATGTAATTGAAAACGACTAAAAAATGTGGAATTAAATACGTCTAGGTTCTCTCAGAATTTTGGAATCAAGCAAAAACTAAGTAAATTGAAAATTTCAGTTTTCTACAAAAATCTCATCAGTCAAATTGTGTGAAAAAAGTGTTATTTGGTTGACACTCAATTTAAGTAATAGATTTACAAGCTACTTTAGATAAATATCTGATGTTAATTTTCCGTATTAATTTCAATTTAATTTTATGCTGTGTATCATAAACTGTGTGATTCAAAATTGGCGTCATTCCCCTTTAGGTGTTGTCTGGGGGTGTTTTGAGAGTACAGGAAAAATAGTAACAAAAATTAACTGTTATTAAATACTGAGATATTTGCAAATAACTATATCAGAAGAATGGCAACAATGTTTTTCAAGGTAATATGCCTAATTAACATTATGTAAAAACCTGTTGCTTCGTAATTAAAAAAAATTCCATTAACCATGGAAAAATTCAGAGTGACAATAGGATAGATAAGGATAAAAGGTAAATTCAACAGGATTCGGTAAATGTGGAACATACTTTTTCAAAATGTCAACATTGTTATAAGATCGAATTGATGTGTACAGTACACAAATAAATCAACATTTCAATCTTTAACTGCAAACAAGTTAGCGCCTTGTAATTACCTTCTATGACCACCTCTTCTCGAGCAGCTTCTCGTATTCGGTTAATTAACTCCTGCTCAAGTTATACCGGTGTTCAGTAATCTATTGATTTAATTTCTTCTTATTCTGCTATGTTACTGTAGCACATCCCCTGAAATAATCGCATATCCGCAAATTCGTGAAAGGAAATTCGAAGTAAGTCACAGTTTCACAAATTATTGTTATTATTGACAAGGGCTATCCACTATCTGTTAATGGCAAAAATTGCCGCTGTGCCTTTTCATCAAAAAATTGTAGAACAGAACTTTTTCAATATCGAAAACTTTCGCAATTTGAAGCAAAGATCGTAATTTTTCACAAACTCAAAATAATGCTTAATAGCAAAGTTGAAATTCGATCTTCAACTGTTAATATCTTCCAGAAATTTTCGAAAAAAAAAATTTCAATATTTTTCTTGTACTTCCCAAGTGAGCCTCCCTCACCCCTTAAAAGGAATGACGCCAATTTTGAATCACTCTGTATAAGGCCCGTCAACGTAAGTACTTGCTGCATAAAACCATATATTTTTGAAAATACAAACATTCAATTCAAACAATTCTTGATATGCCAATGATCTGAAAACAAAACGCTAAATATTCTACTAGATTTATTTTAAGTTGCAACTTATAAATCATCTAAGTATATACTATTTTTTATTATTTATTATTATTGTTTTATTTCACATTCATATGAATGTGAAATACCGTATTGACGTTTTATTATGTAGAAAAGATAACCATGAATATCATGATGAAATGAGATTTATTTATAAATAGTGTAAAAACAGTTATTTCAGCTCCAACTGCAAACAAAAACTACAAATAGTAGCGTTTCGAACTGTCTACTTTAGTTTTTCAATTTTCAAGAGCGTATGTGGCAAAGAAATTTTGTACAGCTTCAATCTTGCTGGCGACTTTCAAAGTAAGGAAATTTTATTTATGACATGCAACAGGGCCTTATACTTCAATTAGATTATTCATTAGGCTCCACTTTGATGCCTTCTTTAGTTGAAGTTTCACATATCACACGCTACGTTAAACGATGGAATGAAGAAAACACCTGGAAAAAAAATGCCTAGATTCTATTTTACGAGCAAAATTGAAAATGGAAGTTCCACTTTTTTATTTATTGATTTTGATTCCTGATAAAAAAAAGTTCCCTAATAGCTCGCACAGCTTTCACTTACTCTCACCAAAGCAAACAATTTTTTTTTCTATTTTTGACAAATATTTCCGGTCTCTAAAAATATGGTATTAAATATTTGGTTGACTCTCAATTTAACAAATTAATTTACGAGCTAATTTGGTTAAATATCTGATGTGTGTTTTCACTATAAATTCCAATTTAATGACAAATTTATGATTGATAAATGTGATTTTCTGCTGTTAGTTTGCCTTAGAATTTTTAATTCAATCTATTTTTTATTTATTTATTTTATTTTGCTCCACACATGCGATTGATTTATTAACGTGCTGACTTGCTGTCCAACTTTGGCATTAAAAAACTTAAATCAATTTAACTGAAAACAAGCTTAAACGCGTAAAACGAAGACCGTTCATATTATAGAATTGGTATTGTACAACATCGGTTACAATATTTAAAACTATGTAAGTAGATACATGACAGCATACATTTTTGAAAATATTAAAAATTTACAAGAAAATATGCAAAAATGGACAAATAAGAGAAATTTATTTTCAATTTAACCGTCCAATTGTTGACGAATACCAATACAATAAAAACAATAAGCTAAATATTTACCGTTAAAAAGCGCCCGTACGGCTCTCACGGCTTTCACTGACTTTTGAACAGAAATGTTCAAAATTCCAATTTTCTACAAAAAATATTTTGGTAACACTAAATTTAACGCCTCTCCTGTGCAAATTTATCAAATGCGGTTACGACGTACCAGCTTAGGGTATCGAAATGCAATCTACTATTAGGAACTTACTTGTCTGAATAATTTCAGTTGACAAACTTAGTTTTATTCGATTTTGTTACAATTTTTAAATATTAATTTATTTCATTTTGACCGGAAATTTTATTGGTTCATTAACTGTGTGTGACTTGCTGCTCAAATACTTATGACATAATTAAAACTACTTATTACTACAAAAGAAAACAAGCTGAAACTGATAAAACGGAAACCTTTTATTTTATCAATTTGGTAGGTGATGGTGCCGTTAGAGTCCCTATGAGTTTTTAGTTTTTCTTGTTTTACTTTAAAGAACACGAAATTAGAGCAAAAACAAATTTCTTGGATGCCCCATAAATTAACCAAACAAACACTCTCACTCTTTAAAGAAAATCACAATTTTCAGGCTAAATTTCCAGTGTTTAAGTTACCGAAAATTGTTTCCTTGGATACTTGGCATGTAGATTCATTCAATTTGGGTCGGTTTAGATTATTTAGGTCTTTTCAGGATATTAATTTCTACTTGTTGCATTTTTGGAGTTTCATAAAAAAATACTTGAAACCATGCTAAAACAACAAACTCAAAATTAACTGAAAAGAAAACATCGTAAAAATACGTGGCAACACCGCATTGTGTTGAATTTCCGAAAAAAAAACAAATAATCCGGCATCTGACTACGACGCGCTAGATAACCTCAATCAATGGGCGAAGTTAAAAAAGATGTTGAAACTTTTGCGAAAAACACTATTTTTATGCATCTTAGCGACAATTTTGAATGTGGAGTTATAAATCGTTGATACCTAAAACACGCTTTAGCAGCAAATAGCAGCGGACAATCTCGTTTTCGTGCATAAATAAGCGGTTTTGTAAAAGCGAATTTCAAAAGTTTGTAACAGTTTTTTGGCTTAATTTATGGACATTCGAGGAATGTTTTTCGCTGAGTGATTAATTTGAAGTGTTCTTTAAGGTAAAAAAAACCTCAAAATTCGGAGGGACTCGAACGACACGATCACCTAGTTTTCTCAGTACTTATTTTGCAAATGTAAAAATAGAACACCTAAATATAGAAAT